CGGAAGGAGCAGCTGCAGCAGCCAGGAGGGCGGGTGGGCGGGAAGGCAGGGCCTGTGACCACCATGACGCCTCAGCACAGGCCTGACGCTGCTCACTCAGGCCCCCAGAAAGCCGCTGCCCAAGTTCAGGGTCCCCACCTGCAGGGTCTGCGCCCTGTTGGCAGGTAGGCTGAGGCCGAGCTCCGGTGGCTCCTGGCGGGCTCCGCAGGGGCAGCTGGGGCCGGACCTGGGCTCGTGGCACACCCCCCCTGCGCCGTGGCCTCACAGCCTCCGCCTCAGCTGCGGCTGCGGCTGCCGTGGTGGCCATTCATCCTGGGCCAGGCCCCTCCAGCCCAGCGCCCAACCTGCGCAAGCCGCGCCCATGAGCCACATCTTAGGGTTTGTTCTTGGACTTGAGTTTCCCTCAGTCCCCCTGGTTGAGGGGCAGGGGCTGGTTCCCGGCCTCAGGGCTGCACGTTTCACCCAGGGTCCCTGGCCAGCGGGCCCTTCCCCGGCCCAGGGGCTGAGCCAGGGGCAGGTCTGTCCTCCTCAGGACACGTCCCTCCTTCGCTTCAATGAAACGGGGTCTCCTGCTGCCCCTGGAATCTGACATGTTGGGCGAAGGCCTGGGGGTCCCCACAGACCCCTGGGTTCCTGGTGGATTAGACAGCGGAGCCCTTAGGGGAGCTGCAGGTTCTCCAAGAAGAAATGATGGCTCCTCCGACCCTCCTGGGCTTTGTGACCCGGCCAAGCAGGTGCCAAGTGGAGCTTTAGAGATGCTCTCCTGCCCTGGCTGGTGTGGCTCACTGGATAGAACGTCGGCCTGAGGACTGAAGGGTTCCGGGTTCCATTCTGGTCAAGGGCACCTGCCCGGGTTGTGGGCTCCATTCGCAGAGGGGGGCGTGCAGGAGGCTGCTGGTTAACGATTCTCATCATGGATGTTTCTCTCCCTCTCCCTTCCTCTCTGAAATCAATAGAAATATATTTCTAAAGGAAAATAAAATGGTCTCCTTTAAACGACAGGATTCCTTAACTTAAATAATAATAATAATAGTAGTAGTAGTAGTAGTAGTAGTAGAACACGTTCTCCAGTCGGTGCTAAGGGGGCGCTCAGCACACACCCCCAGGCTCCCCTCTCTGGGCCCAGCCCCCTTTGCCAGGACAAGGCCTCTCCAGGAGCGCTCACCCCCCCCCCCGCCTCCCCCAGGGCTCCGCTCCCTGCGGGTCCCCCGCGGCCTATGCGGAGGGGGGGGGGGCACGGGGGGGGAGGGGTCAAGCGGGGCTCGGTCCAGCCCGGACTCACTTTCCCAACCGCCGGGGACAAGCCGCAGCCTAGGGGCTGAGCGCAGCCCTGCGCCCCAGGTCTGAGCAGTAGGAGGGCCCCCTCCAGCCCGGAGGACCGTGTCCCTGTCTTTGGCCTGCAGGAGCCGCCAGAGCGGGTCCGGGTGGGGCACCCGCCCCTAGGCCTGCACTGCGTGCTGGGCCCGGCCGGGGGTCGTCGGCACCCCCCCCCCCCTGGGGGAAGAAGGGAATGGGGGGCCCTGGGGCTTGTGGATGCGACTTCGGAGCCCCGCCCCGGGAGGGAGAAGCACTGGGAGAGGCGGGCTCTGCGTGGGAAGCCGCTCCTTCCCGGTCGGTCCCTAGGTCCAGCGCCGGGAGGGCGTCGGACCTGGGGGACCTGGGGCTGAGCCTGGGACGGTGGCCCCGCGTCACTTCCCATAACTCCTGAGGGAAGGGAAGGCCCCACGGACGGAGCCTCCTTTATGGGGACCCCGCGTCAGAGTCAGGGGGGCCGCGACCAAGTCGCCACGTGCGGAGGAGCCCCCAGGGGAGCGGCCCCCGCCCCGCGCACGGCTGCCCACGCGTCCTCTTCACACGGACACGGCCCCGGGGCCCCCGCGTGTTCGCATCAGGTCATCGCTGGGGTCGCGGGGCCCGGGCACAGGGACCGCGAAGGCGCCCAGGACCTCGCAGGGCCTCAGGGGCCTTCACAGCTGGTCCCGCGGCTCCCCCTCCCCCTTCACCCTCCTTCCCACAGCTGATTCCAGCCAACCCTTTTTAAATATAAATATATTTCTATTCATTTCAGGAGGAAGGGAGAGAGAGAGAGAAACATCAATGATGAGAGAGAATCATGGATCGGCTGCCTCCTGCACGGCCCCCACTGGGGATCGAGCCCGCCACCGTGGCATGTGCTCTTGTCTGGATGGAACCGGGGACCCTTCAGTCCACCTGCGGACGCTCTATCCACTGAGCCACACCGCCCAGGGCTAGAGACAACCCTTTAATCTGCTCCGCACTGGGTCCCCAACATCCCCTTAAACTGAGGAGACTCACAAGACCAAAACTCTCCCCTCCTCTGTCCACAGCGCCACCCCTGTCTTTCCCTGAAACCTCCTGTTTGTGCGGGTCCCGCCCTCACCACGTGGGTCCGCAGCGCTGAGAGCCAGAAGCTCTGGGGGCCAGGCACATCAGGGAGAGCTGCTGCTCTGGGTTCCTACTTCCTCCTGACACCGTTGTCTGAGACCGAATCAGCCTCCACGGCACAGTCACGGCCTCGCCCACGCCTGCCATCCTGGTCCCCCCTCCCGCTTCCTTGGTGGGACCAGGGCGCCCAGGGCTGCGGAGTCCCCCTGCCCATGGTGCCCCGCCTGGGCCTGCAGCTCCCACATTGACAATTTATTATATCAGGGCCACCGTTCTTGTCTGCCTGTAATAATAATATTGTTGGAAGAGAAAGGGTTATTCTTTAGGGGTGGATACTGAACTGTTTAGGGGTGAGGGTCATGGTGGTGGCAGGTGATTTTCAAATAGTTCAGAAAATTTGTGGAAAACCGGAATTTTGGAAAACTTGTGTCCCACCGTGTAAGCTGCACAGCTTCCCAGGGCTTCAACCGCGGGAGGTCGCTAGGACTTAGAGGAACATGCGTTACATTCAAGTCAAACTGCCTGAGGACAGGAGCCAGCCAGCAGGACAGTCTGGGGATCTGCACACAACGGAACAGGAAAGATTCACTCGGTTTCAAGCTCCACTTGGCAAAGCCCTTTTCAGAAACGACCTCTTCTGTGGTTTGAGTGACCATCACAGGTGAATGTTCACACTTACCGGGAAAGGTTATGAAAAGTTCTCCTCCGGCCCTACCCGGTTTGGCTCAGTGGATAGAGCGTCGGCCTGTGGATGGAAGGGTCCCAGGTTCGATTCTGGTCAAGGGCACATGCCTGGGTTGTGGGCTCGATCCCCAGGAGGGGCCGTGCAGGAGGCAGCCGATCAATGATTCACTCTCATTATTGATGTTGCTATCTATCCTTTCCTCTCCCTTCCTCTCTGAAATCAATAAAAACATATTTTTTTAAAAAGTTTTCCTCCTGCACATTTCTGTGAGGCCGTGTATTTTCATGTATTGCCCGCGAAAGGAGAGATGAAATGTGGAAGCAAATGTGAAAACCCAGCGCCTCCCAGTGACACGTGCAAGGGCATAAAATGGGAGCAAGTCCCCTCCTCTCACCACCTTGTTTATCTGGGAAATTGGTATTTTTCATAAAAACACTATTTCTGTTAAGATCTCATAGGTTACTAACATGCTACACGAATTGGCAATTTTTTCAAACTGTGTGATTCCCCGTGTGGTACATATTGATAGACGTAACCCACACAAACAAGACTATATTTGGGTCCTGCCTCCTGTGTGCGGCTGCACTGAGATTCTGACACCAAAATGTCTGAAGGGCCCTGAACAGCACAGCGCCTGGGCCGGCCTCGGGGACAATGTGACGGGCGCCCCGCGCAGGAGGAGGGTCAGGACCGAGTCCCAGGGCCCAGGCCTGCGCTCAGGGCTCCGCAGTGGACAGAGTCTGGGGGGGCAGCTCCGTGGTGGGGACTCCCCAGGGCCCTGGTTTCACTTCTCCTCTCCCAACCTGTGTCGGCGCCTCCTTCCTAGAGACTCGTGACGCGGAACCGATTCTCACTGCCATTGGCTGAGCAGCTTCTAGAGCAACCAATCAGCGTCCCCGAGGGTCCCGGTTGTAACTCCTCCGCGGAAGCGCTGGGACTCAAATGGTCCCCCCGACGCCGAGGATGCGGGTCCGGAGGCCCCCCACCCTCCTCCTGCTGCTCTCGGGGGCGCTGGTCCTGACCCCCAGCTGGGCCGGTGAGTGCGGGGTCGGAGGGGACGGCGGTGCGGGGAGGAGCGAGGGGACCCGGCGGGGGCGCGGGGCCGGGAAGGCGCGTGTCCAGCCCCGGCCCTGCCCCCCGTCCGCCCCCCAGGCCCCCACTCCCTGAGGTATTTCAGCACCAGCGTGTCCCCGCCCGGCCGCGGGAAGATTCGCTTCCTCTCCGTCGGCTACGTGGACTACACGCAGTTCGTGCGGTTCGACAGCGACGTCCCGAATCCGAGGGAGGAGCCGCGGGCGCCGTGGATGCAGCAGCCGTGGGTGGAGCACGAGGACCCGGGGTATTGGGACCGACAGACGCAGATCAACAAGGACGAGGCACAGACGTTCCGATTGGACCTGCAGACCCTGCGCGGCTACTACAACCAGAGCGAGGACGGTGAGCCGCGCGCCGGGCCCGTCACGACCCCCCTCCCCACTGACAGGCCGGGTTCGCCCCGAGGGTCCGGGTCCGAGCGTCACCCCGAGGCGGCGGGACCCGCCCGGCCCCCACCGGAGAGGGCAGGGCGGGGCTGACCGCTGGGCCGGGTCAGGGTCTCACACGGTCCAGGTGATGTATGGCTGCGAGGTGGGACCCGACGGGCGCCTCCTCCGGGGGTACGAGCAGCACGCCTACGATGGCGCCGACTACATCGCCCTGAACGAGGACCTGGCCTCCTGGACCGCGGCCGACTTGGCTGCACAGATCACCCGGCGCAAATGGGAGGCAGAGGGTGTGGCAGAGCGACTGAGGAGCTACCTGGAGGGGGAGTGTGTGAAGTGGCTCCGCCTTTACCTGGAAAAAGGGAAGGAGACCCTGCAGCGCGCAGGTACCAGGGGCCTTGGGGCCGCCCCCTCTCCCCGGGGCTGAGGCTCCCACAAGGAGACAGGACAGGGGGTCAGTGTCAGACACCCTTCCTTGTGGTCAGGGAGGGAGTCCCACTGGATGTCCAGGTCAGGTACCAGAGGGATCCTCCTCCTCTCAGGGACAGTTAGGGGTTCAGGCTTTCCTGGGGTGCAGGGAGACCCCCTGAAATAGCCCATCAGCGGTTCCCATGGGCCCTGCAGGGGCTCTCTGACTCTCGGGGACCTTCTCTCTCAGGCCTTGTGCGCTGCCCACACCCACTGTGTCTGAGGCCTCACCCCAGCTTTTCTGAGTCACATGGCCTCCACCCAGGTCAGGACCAGAAATTCATTTTCTCCCCTCAGAGACCTGCCTCCTGCCCTGGGCTGTGTCTCTCTGATTCTTGAACTTTGTAAAGTCTAGGAGGGCCTTACAGGTGCCTCTGTGCAGGCTGGTGTGTGGTCAGTGTGCTCCCTCCCCCACCCCAGGAGTCTGTCCACTCTCAGGATGGTCACATGGGCACTGCTGGAGGATCCCATGGAGGTTGCAAAGTTCCTGCATTTTCTCCCCTCCCCTCAGAACCTCCAAAGGCACATGTGACCCACCACCTCGTCTCTGCCCGTGAGGTCACCCTGAGGTGCTGGGCGCTGGGCTTCTACCCTGCGGACATCAGCCTGACCTGGCAGCGTGACGGGGAGGACCAGACCCAGGACATGGAGCTGGTGGAGACCAGGCCTGCGGGGGATGGCACCTTCCAGAAGTGGGCGGCCGTGGGGGTGCCCCCTGGAGAGGAGCAGAGATACACGTGCCATGTACAGCACGAGGGGCTGCCCGAGCCTCTGACCCTGAGATGGGGTGAGGAGGGGCCGTGGGCACAGAGCCTCTTCTCAGGGCAACAGGGACTGAGGGGTCGGGACTGAGGCCTGGGGTGAGGGCCCTCACCCTCCTTTCCCTTTTCCTCCCAGAGCCGCCTTCTCAGACCTTCATCTTCATCATCATGGACATCGCCGGGGTCCTAGTTCTGCTAGGCATTGTGTTTGCAACTGTGATGTGGGGGAAGAGGCGCTCAGGTGGGCAGGGGTTGGGTTTGAGTGTCTGTCCCACTGGGGGTTCAAGCCCAGGTAGACATGTGTCCCGCCTCATTCATGGGAAGCACCATCCGCATACGTGTGATGGCCAGTGTGGGGCTCTCTGTGCTCACACTTTCTCTTTAGTGAGGCCCGTGGGAAAATGAGAGACCCACCTATCACCTGATGATGCTGGTGGTGGGGATCCCGCTCCCAGCAGCCACAGGTCAGAGGGCAAGTCCCTGCTGAGCACAAACCTCCAGGAGGGCGGTGGGACCAGTCCCCACACATGCACTTCCCTCAGGTTTCCTGATCCTGCCCTGGGTCTATTCACATGGTTCTGGAAACTTCTCTTGGGCCACAGGACCAGGGCTTCCTTTAGGACCTCATGGCCCTGCCTCCTCCCTGGTCTCTCATGGGATGTTTTCTTCCCGCAGGTGGGAAAGGAGGGAGCTACGCTCAGGCTGCCAGTGAGTATGGAGGGGGGACCCCTGAGACCCTGGAACAGTGCAGACGGGAGTCCTTGGGGGACCCCACACCCATAGTTCCTCCTTAGTCTCCTGCCCTGGGGCTCTGACCCTGTCCTGTTGTGTGTACTCCCGCCAGGCAGTGACAGCGCCCAGGGCTCTGGTGTGTCTCTCTCGGCTTCTAAAGGGGAGATCCTGCCGTAGGGAGAGGTGGGCAGAGGGGAGGACTGGGTGGTGGGGAGTCAGTGGGACACTGTGAGCATGAAGTGGGCTTTGAGAATGTCACCAGTTACAGCCACTGACCTGAATCTGTTCATGATTATTGTCCTCCACAGTGTGAGGCAGCTCCCCTGTGGGACTGAGTGATGGAAGATGTGTTCACGCTCCCACTTCCTGACTCAAGAACCTCTGATTTGGGGGCTGCCCTCGCCCTGCTCCCCATGCTCTCCTGTCAGCAGAGGCAGGCTGGGCCCTCCCCATTCCTGTCTTTACTACCTGGGGCTCTGAGCTGCAACTTCCTGCTCTGTATTAAAATGAGATTCTGGATGTGACCTTGTGTGTTTACTTGTTGTCATGAAAGGTTGGGGGGTTAATTAAAGGGGAACCTCCTAAATTCTGAGAGGAAATAAATTGAAGCATCAAGAGCTTTCCAGAACTGTGTGTATTCTATGGTTGACACAGGTGGGGCGGGAGAGTCTGTGAGGACGGAGTGTGGTTGGGGCCTGTGCCTCGTCAGTGCTCAGTGCCTCATGGGCTTTGACACAGTCACTCCCTAGCCGAGTCACCTCTCTGCTCCTCTGACCTTGTCCCTCAGTGGAACCATGTCCCACCAGGACCTGTGGTCACAGGGACTCACATCCCAAAGGCCTTGTCACGTGTTCTAATGCAGCGCATCTCCAGGACCCTGGACAGCGAGGCCTCCCTGGGGCAGGTCAGCCTGGGCTCAGCCTGGATCCCACCCTCTGCCCTCATCTCCTGGGTGTTTGTTGTTTCTTTGCTTTTGTAGATATTATGCCTGTTACTGTGTTTGTGTGTGAGTTTTGGTATCAGTGTCTGGGTGTTTCCGTCTTATAGCAACAGGAGTCATTTTGCCTGTCATTGTCTCACAGGCCCAGGGCCCCTGCACACAGGAGACCTCCATGTGGAGATGGGTGTTCAGGCTCCTCCTGCTCTTGCCTCCTTCTGGGGCTGATGGTTCTTCTGTCTTTTCCTGAACTCTCCGAGGATTTAGCAGGAGCAGGATTCCTCCTCTGAGATCAGCTCCTGCTGGGACTGTGCTCTGCCCGCCGCCCTCTCTCCAGTCCTTCCCTCTAGAGCTGACCCCAGTGGGACCCATGATGTGGGGAAGAGGCTGCTGGAGGTTTAGGGGAGCAGCGCTGTGGGCAGTGCAGGTGCAGTGATGTCCCCGGGGGCACCCTGAGCTGCAGCTGCCCCAGGACAGCTGTGCTGGGGTCACAGCCATGAGTACACTGTGTGTGGAACAGGGACGGGTTCTCTGATGGTGACCCCTCAGCCAGGACTTTGTGACGGTGTGACAACTGTGGTTCCCTCTGGAACGCACACGGACCGTGGAGGTACTTCAGGCCGGGTCCTGACCCATAGTAATTCCAACATCGACATGAACCGAGGCTCAGATGCTTTGGCTTCACCCTGAACATAAACGTTATGCTTACGCTGTACTGGCATCTACTCAGTGTCCTATAGTTTTATGTCTAAACAATAACATGCACACCTTAGTTAACATGTGCTTCATTGTGAAAAATGCTCACTGTCACCTGTGTCACAATCTACTTGCTGGTGGGAAGTCTCACCTTCCATTGAAAAGCCCACAAGGTCTATGAAACACAGGAAGTGAGGCAGCTCCACCTCAGGGAGCGGAAAGCAGCCCACGCTGCCGGCCTCACAGAGCGTATGTTCTATTGCAGAGACAAGCTGCATCCTTTCCCCAGAGCCAGTGAGGCGTCTGTGCTAGAATGTGGTGAGTGCTGTGGTGGAGGGATCCACTGTGCATGTATGTGGGGGAGGGAAGATGGCTTTGTTTGTTGGTCCTCACCCAGGATATTTTTCCATTGACTTTTAAGGAGAGTGAAGGGGGAGGTGCTAGACCGAGGGAGAGAAACATCCATGTAAGAGAGAGGCAGCTATTTGTTGCCTCCAGCCTGGGGATCGCATGGAGCCTGCACCGAGGTACCTGGCCTTGACCGGAATACAACCTGTGACTTTCAGTCCGAGGGCCGCACTCTATCCACTGAGCAAAGTGGCTGGGAGAGGAGGCCTATTGTAATGTGGGGGTCAGCATGGGCCTCACGGGGAAGGGGACTTCTTTAAAAATATTTTAATTGATTTCAGAAATGGAGGGAGAAGGAGAGGGAGATAGAAGCATCAATGATGAGAGAGAATCATTGATTGGCTGCTTCCCACACACCCCCCCCCCCCACAGGGGGATGGAGTCCGAAACCTGGGCATGTGCCCTGACCAGGAATGGAACCATGACCTCCTAGTTCACAGGTTGATGCTCAACTGCTGAACCGCACCAGTGGGGCTGGGAAGGTGACTTGAGGAAAGATGAGAAAGTGGTGAGTGCTTATCCATGAGTGTGTTGGGGGCAAGTTCTCTCCAGGCGGGGAGACTCCAGCACAAACGCACTGGGCAGGGAGCAAGTCTGTTCATTGGGAGCAGCCGGAAGGCCAGTGTGGTGACGCAGAGTGCAGTGGACAGAGTCAGGTACAGGCTGCCTCAGGTGGGGCTGGGGACGGCGGAGGAGTTGTGACTGTGAGAGTTTTGAGCAAAGACAGATATGGTCTGAGCCTTTCTTTTAAAAAGGTCAGTCTGGCTGGGCCAGTGGCTCAGTGGTTCAGCATCAACCTTTGTAGTTGAGTTGATTCCCGGTCAGGGCACATGCCTGGGTTTCGGGCTCGATCCCCAGTGAGGGGCGTGCAGGAGGCAGCCGATCAATGATTCTCTCTCATCATTGATGTTTCTCTCTCCCTCTCCCTTCCTCTCTCTGAAATCAATAAAAATATATTTTTTAAAAATAAAAGGGTCAGGCTGGCTGTTGTGCTGAGAACAGTATCGTGAGGAAGGGCCCCTAGGGCTGCAGGGAAAGGAGCCGGCACTTCCCCGTGTCCCAGGGGAGAGAGGCTGGTTTGGCGGGGATGTGAGGGGGGAACAGTGGGAAGTGGCTGGACACTGAGTACATGTGGACAGATGGATTCACAGCATTTCCGAGGAAATCTGGGGTGGGAGCGGCAGGGAGGGAGGACACCCGAGATGTGCCATGCAGGTCGGAAGATTGGGCTTGTTGTCAGCAGAGATGAGGAGGGGGGGCAGGGCTTGTGGGGAGCGGGGGCGAGGGTAGGGGGGGCTGACAAGCCTTCCCGTGGAGAGAAGGGAAGGGGAGGTGTTGGGGTGCTGGACGCTGAGTGTGGGGACCTGTAGGAGGAAGGTCAGGCTGGAGGAACAGGTGGGAGGGGGCAGCAGACAGGACAGTCAGGGCCTGGAGCTGGACGAGGCCCCAGGGAGCAGGGGCTGCAGGAGGGACAGGAAGGAGGAGTGAGAACCGAGACCAGGCCAGGCAGGCTCCCCAGACCACACACCCAGCCCCTACGACCTGGTTCTGGGCGGAGACCAGCGAGTGGGGCAGGAGGGGCCTGGACGTGGTGCCAAGACGCAGGGGCTGCAGCACTAGTGACCGGGCTGGTTCTGATGTTTCTGGTCTTCAGGTCACAGATTCCATAGTGAGAGCCTAGACCAGATGCCCACATGGCTGCATCAGCCTCCCGGAGGGCTTGGTTAAGGGGGTGCTTGGGGCCAAGCCCTGGGGCCTTAGGGGCCACCCACTGTCCTCTGTGGGTTCTCTCCTTAGCGGCCCGCCCTAGTCCCCAAGCTTGGGACAAGGAACAAGCATCATTGGCGCAGAGGCCGGGGTGGGAGCTGCTCCCTAGTGCCTTCCATCTGAGAAGGTCCAGGCCCTTTGCAGAGCTTCTGCCACAGGCTCCGTGCGTCCTGCAGCGCCTTTGTCAGCAATGGCTGCCATCGGGGGAATCGCTGATGGTGGTGATGGCGCTGGTGGCAAGACCTGCTGCCTCATTGTTCTTACAAGAACCCATTCCCAGGGGTTCAGGGACCTCCTGTGCGTGGAAACCAGGGGGCAGTCACAGAAGGGGAAGGAGAACTGGCCGAGCAGGCTTCGGGGGACACAGCTGGGCAGAAGGAGGATGGTGGCTGGAGGCCCCTCTCCTGCCGGGACGCGGATGTTCTCCGGATGTGTCTCTCCACTGACAGCCCTGAGAGTTTAGAGAACATCCCAGAGAAATGGCCTCCGCAGGTCAAGCGTTTCTGTCCCCATGGGCCCATCGTCCTGGCTGGGAGCGAGGAGGATCTTGGGAAGGATGAGCCCACAGGAGGGAGCAGCCAAGATGCAGCAGGTGCAGTGAAAGCGGAAGAAGGGGAGAGATGCCACAGGACTGGCGCTTAGGGGACACAGAGTGCTCAGCAAAGACCGAAGATGGAGGAGGGAGGTTTGGAAATGGCCACGGGAGCTGCTCTGCAAGCCAGACGCGGGAAGAAGAAATCAGGGTGCCTGTGTGGTGAGCCTGCTGCAAGCAGTTTGGAAGCGCCGTTTATTAATCTTCGTGTACGACCTCGGTCCTTGTCCATTTATCTATAATTTACCAGAGATGACAAATCGGAAGTCACCTTGCTACCAGTGATTAGGAGCCAACCATGGTTATGAAGGATCCAGCCCACCTGGCCTGCAGGGTCTCCAGCCACCGCTCTCCCAGCCTCCTCTGCGCTCCCACCTGACAGGCCAGGCGCGGATTCGGAATTCCTTCCCTTCCTGCTTCTTTCTAGAAGGAGAAATGGTAGCTTTTGTGAGTGAGGCTGTAACTACTTCATCACTCACGTGCTTGCCTGGCATCTGTCAGCTGCAAGGGACTCTGGGAGCTGCCCCTTCAGGGCTGGACTCCTGAGCAGGTTTCCTGGTCGGGCCTCTGGAGGGGGCATCCAGTTTCCCAACGTGCTCAGCAGAGAGGCCCAGGCCTGCAGCTGTGGCCATCACAGTTCTGTGCTTCATGGTAGTTACCGCATAGTCACTGTGTAATGAGCGCCACCTACTGTGTGTCACCAAAACATAATATACCCAACTAGACGTAGTATTTTTGTATAATTGGATTTCCTACTACTGATATTTGTCATCCCAACAAAAACTGTAGTGGTTTTTTTAAAAAAAGAACATGTAGGAGAGGAAGCGGGGGCGCCCGCAGCTCCTGGCCCCGCGCGCCCCGGGGCCCCGCGCCCGAGGAGAAGGAGGGGTGGCCGCGAGAAGGTGGCTGGGCCCAGGCGGGGGAAAGAACCTTGCCCCCGGAAGAAGGGTGAGTTTGCGGGAGTCCGCGGCCCACCGGGGCCCGAGGAAGGAAAATTGGCGGCCGGCGGGGCCGGCCCC